TACCAACAGTTCGATGAAACACTTCCACAACAAAGGACTCCTTGGCTGGCTTGACGGTGGAATAGCACCTCCTCGCCCTTGAATCGTCCTCAACAAACAGATTGGGCCTGAGCAATGGGACATCTGGAAACTTGCTGCGAGTACTGAAAAACTTGAAACTTGGACTAGATATTTCACAGAGACCAGTCGTAATCATAGTAACTATTCCTTCTGTTATAATCGTTCCTATTTTACACAAGCTTGTGTTCCCCTTCCTTTAACTGTTATAGTCACAGGAAACTTACAATTTAATAAGACTTTACGTTCTGTGACTTGTATAGATTACAAATTGTATACTTGTCTAAATTCATATATTTTTCTATAAAACAAATCCCTTTTGATTCTTCAATCTTGACATAGTCTGTATTTGCCAGTAGATCTCCAACGACCCTGGGAAGAGGGTCCCATGGCAGGACTTGCTCCCACTTGCTCACTAAATTACTCCGACAATCTAAACAAGTCATTGGATGGCTAATCCTTGGCATTTTGAGATTAGTAGCCATTTGCACCACTGCTGCTGTCACAGACATTGCTTTACAAACTTCAATTCAAACACAAAACTTTATTCAAAATTGAACTAAAGATGCTCATACTATATGGGTCATTCAGGTTCAGATAGATGAAAAAGTTCAAGATAAAATTCAGAAATTAAAAACAGCCATCCAGTGGGTTGGGATCAATTAATAGATTTACAAAAACAAATATTATTAAATTGTGATTGGAATTCTACTCAATTTTGTATCACTCCTGTTCGGTTCAACCATAATGCTTACAACTGGGAACAAATCAATCTGCAAGATATACATAATAATGCTTCCTTAAATGTACAATTGTTGCAAAAGAAAATTTTTGAAACCTTCTCTAGAGTCTACCCTATTCCAACAATTTGGAAACTGTAGCTGAACAGCTAACTGATCAATTATCTGGGCTGGACTATTGAGGATGGTTTCAAAGCATTACACATAGTATTGGATCAGGAACTATAGCGCTAACTGTCCTGATTTGTAGCATACCGATGCCTTTCAACTAAATTGTTCAAACTAAAAAAACTCCATTGGTCAGGGCCTTTTTCACAAAAAGTATCTACAGTCACCCCCAATTACGAAAAAATAAAAAAGGGGGAATTGTCAGGGGACATTCAGCTTTAAGGGATCCAACATGTTAGGTTTTCCTTTAGTGTGCCCTTTCTCAAGGATTCTCTATTCCTTATCAGTTCCTGGAAAACAGGAATGAGCAGAGCTGCATGCAGTTCTCAGGACTGAGATCATGAGAAGGGGCACCTGCTTGGATTCCTTTCAGTGACTCCCTTCAGTGACTGCCTTCGGTGACCTTACTTAAATGTAATCTATTCAGTTATGCCCCTCTTACTCAAGATACGGAATGCTTTCTGGCCCTTTAAAGATTGTTATTTGCTTGGCTCTGTTTTTGCTCAGTTTTTTTTACTGCCTAAAGCTGCCTTGTATGAAGGTATATAAACATACATTTCTGCAAATAAAGCACCCTTGTTTCACTCGAGACTTGGGTCCCCTGCATCCCTCTTCTCGTTGACTCCAGTCCCCAGGTTCCGGTCTACAAAGACTGTGACATTGGAGAAAGAAAAAAAACACTAGTGCTAGGCTTTATGGGATTCAGAATGAAAAGAAAATGTTTTCTCTTTCAGCAAATTATGACATCATGAGTTAAATCATTGCAAAGTAGGGATGAAGAATGGAAAATAAAAACTGCAATGTCTGTTGAGCTTGACATGTAACTTTTTTATTTTATGATAAAAATGCTTCCATATAAATTTTGTCGTAACTACTTTTAGAATGAAACTTTGAAAATTAAAAACAAATTGTGCATTTTCCTTACCATGTATAGTTAGGAATATGCAGTCATTTTATTGGTTATTGGGTTTCTCATACAAACAGATATCATATCACTTTTAAGAGAAATGTACACAAGTAAGAAGCCACAGTACCAAACAGTTATGAGTGGGAGCCTCTGGGCATATAAACTTGTCCTCTCAGTCATCATACATTCAGTATATTAGTTAAGGCCAAAATCCCCAAACCACTTGCCAACAGAATATTACACCTTTGGTTCTCTTTTATGCAAGAATTATGAACTAGGAAACTTAATAATGATGAGAATGGACTTGTGCATCATAGCTGATTGCTTACATAAAATCTTTAACTCTCACTCTTTCCCTCAAACCTCTCCCTCCCTCACCAACATGTAAATCAGAAAATGATGCTTAATATAAAACAGAAGAAACAAACAAAAAATATATCCCCAAAGGCAGACAGAAGATGACTCAAAGGAAGAATTTATAAAGATAAAACAAGAATGCCAGGGGCAAAGAGGGTGACCTACACCTGTCATAAAAGATGTTTCCCATACAAACTTAAGTCTCTACTTCAGAACCCAGATGAGAAAGCGATTCTTCATCTTATTTTCTCTTTTCCTCAATACAACTCACAGGTTCTTAACAATCTAAGTGACTGATAAATGCTTGAAAGGCAGTGTCTTCTTCCTTATCACTGAAGCCTGTTGTTTGTAATGGCAGCTTTCATATTTATTTCTGCAAAACCCAAAGGATCCCAAAGAGGAGCAAGTAAGTTAGGCCCACAGTGTGCTTACAGATGGAGGAAGCTATAAGGGATCAAGCTGCTGGATCAGAGCTGACACTCTGAAGAAGGGGGGCCAGAATGGGATGACAGAGAAGTGTAGATGTGGTGAGGTCCACAGTGGTCCATGGAGACGGGTCCTCCCCATCTGTGAATCAACGAATAGGTCCAAGGATAAAGAATCACCATTCAGAATGATAAAATGCTTCACCCTATGAAAGGGGTTGGTAGAGTTGCCACATGAGAGAATAAAATACAGAGTGAAAAAATAATCTGCTTATATCAGGGAAAAATGAATTATATTTTTAGTTCAGTGAACTTGGGCAGGACTAGAAAAACTCTTTGTAGACTTCCATGCTAAAAGACACATAGGGTTTCCATATGAAGCCCTGGACAGATAAATCTGGTAAATGGGAAGAACTGATGAACACTCTCAGGCAAGGCAGTAAGGAAAACTATCATTGAAGCCAACACAGAGTGGGCAGACCACCTATTAATATCTACAAAATGCCCCCAGAAGAACTAATTTTCCATTGTCATGATATCATAGCACCGGGCAAAAGTGACAGTGTGGAGACAGAACCAGTTGTTAGCTAACTCAGGGAGAAGAGGAAGTAAAACTACTTTTCTCCTCTTTCTAGTGTTGGATAGAATGCATGTCCTTGACAGAGGGTCAAAAAAGTTGCCAAGACCACAAATACAGGAAGCAGACTTGGGTGAGATGCAATCACACTCTGAACATTAAGATGACAAGACAGTAAGTCTATTTTTGCCCATTATCATCTAGAAGGTGACTCTATGAGAGGAAAATATCCCTGATAAGTGTCTATGTTACTTGCCTAGTGGGAAATTTCAATACCGCCTGAAAGAAAAGGAACTGGGAGCAGAAAATAGCAAAGGCTACCTCATAATTACTCCCTTTCCAACCTTCTTGTAAGACTGGCTTTGGCCACAGAAACTAGGCCAGGATTCTATTTCCCGCACTTGAACACAGAAAACCCAGGTGTTACTGGGTGCACCAGTAATCAGACCACAAAGTGTGGCAGGAAGATAGGTGAAGGGGCCTGGGATCAGAAGGAATGTCAGGAAGTAGAGATTGTGACCACCTGACTAGGGGAAGATGACTGTCAAAGGGGTTGGGGAGGAGGCCCTTGAGCAGACGAAAGTTCAGTTCTAAATGGCAAGGGAATGTCGTTTGAAGGCTCAACAATTACAACAGTCTTCATCTGCTGGATGTGTGAGTGAAGCAGGCCAAGGGTTCTAAGGCCTGTAACAACGTGTTTGATGTTGGCAGTCAACAGAATGCTTGGCAGGAACCGGTTAGTGGGTAATCACTTCTTGAATGAGTCAGCTTATCTCTTGGCTCTCTTGGTCATTCCAACATTCTAAACCTTGGTCTGTTTGGGTTTTGTTTTTTTAAAGGGGTCATATTAGCTACACTGCCAAGGATAAACCTTCACACTTACTAGGCAGACAAATGGAAAAAAAAGAAGATCCTTACTTTTCTTCCTGGTAAGGTTTGTAGGAACCAGAATGTAGGCAAGAGAATTTAGGCGCAGCTTCTTGAAGGGGGTCCTGGTCCCCTAAATGGGTTCAAAGAAAAATATTTTGCTCCCCTTCTTTTAAGAATGATATGTAGGAGAAAGGACTATGTCCATTTTCTAAAGAAACATACTTGAAAGGTTTCTGCTGGGACCATAAAGATAAACCCCATGAGGCTCCTAGGGACACTGGGAAAACAGGAGGGAAAGGGGAGGCTACAGGTGCCTCCAGAGCAGGCATGATTCAAAGCACAAAGGTCCTGCCCTGGAACATGCAGGTGGGGTTCCAGCCACAGAGAGGCGCACAATTAAAGCACCAAATGAAGTCAAAAGAATTTTCCAAGGATAAGAATAGGAGACAGGTCACATCTGGAAGAATTCCAGGGCACAATTCCCTGTAGGAATCTATTGCAGAATCTTCTCATGGATATGGCAGAAGCCCCTAAGGCTGAAAAATGCACTCCAGGCTGCAAGAATGTCTACAACAGGCATCCATCTTATTCTCTGTATTGAAGAGAGGAAATGTGGTCCCAAGTCTTGTATTCATCTTGCAGTTCTGTGAACTTGGGGACTTGATGGGCAAGAGATTACAAGGAGCCTTGTCCCTTCCGTGTTCCCCAAACCCCACAGATGCACAGTGAAGCTAATGAACTCGCTTCTTCGTATTATCTACAAGATAAGAGCCTCTCCTCTCTCCTGCCTTCAGAAGCTGGTTCCAGAGATTTCTTCATTTCTTTCCCGGATGACCTTCATTTGTTCCTCAGCAGCATTTACAAGAGGAGTTCTGTGTCTAGGCTGGAGGCAGACTCTTTCATGCATAGACCTGCATGTTGCTGCGTGGTGGCTCAGACATGTGTGTCCCAGGTCCCCGTTGACCTCCTCCAGCGCCCCCAGGAGTGGGGCTGGTGGTTACATCTGACCAGTCAGAAGCAGAGTGGGGTGATGAACTTGACCACTGGTCAGGAGACTCTGGGGACGGTGTCAGGTAGGGATGCTCACCCTGGAGGTGACCACTGTGACTGGGCGTTCTCTCAGCAGCATTGGAGGAAACATAGCTATGCTGTGACGGGGGTGTGGGATACTTGCCCACAGAGGCTGGGAAGGGGTGATAGGCTGGGAGAATGGTCTGAGCAACCTGCCCGTCCTGCTGGGGCATCATGGCAGTGGGAAAAGCCATACTGGGTAAGCGAGCCATTTCTGGAATCTGATACATGGTGGGCAGGGTGCCTGCAACGGCTGGAGGGCAGTTGGATGGAGGCTGGGCAGCCCCAGTTGGTTGGGCAATGCTGCCTTTGGGGATGAGCTGGAAAGTCACAATGGGGGGCAAGGGCTCTCGGGGGGTGGTTAAATGCTTCCCTTCGGGCGGCCTGCTCTGGGGAGCTATGCCAGGGTGGGTGCCCTCAGCTGGAGCCAGGACCATACCGAACATCTCGTTGTACTGGCTCTCATTCATCTCCACGCGGTTCATCCAGTCAGCCGGGACAGTGACTGGATGTAGCCTACCCAAGCTCCCTGCAGTGCTGCTGCCTGGGGGCACAATGTGGTGGTGGGACAGCAGCTGGCTCACCGAGGGAAGCACAGTGTTGGCCCCATGAGCCAAGGGCTGCATCTCATGAAGGTTAGAGAAAGACAGTGCATGCTGTGCATGGACTGGGGCAGCGGGGGTGGCAGTGGCCAGCATGGGGTTGGGGGAGGCCTGTAAGATTCCGGGAGATGTGATCATTGGAGAGGAGGTGGTGTCAGAAACATATGTGTGGGGAGATTCTAGGGAATCGACGGGGGACAGAGTCACTGAGCTCTCGGACAGCTGGCCCTTGTCACTCAGAGACTTCTTCCTCCTGTTCCCCTTGGCATCCTTGGCCTCCTTGGCAAGGTTAGGGAGGCTAGTGGGCACGGCACTCTTGGTGTTAGGCCGTCTAGACTTCTTGCCCATTGGGGTATGCTTCAGACTGAGAAAAGGTCTGTTGGGCCCACAGATGACGGGTGAGAGCGCAGAAGTCAGCACTGTGCCGGGAGGGCTGGGGGTCACGTTGTACTCGTCCAGCAGGCGCACGATGTCGTGGTGCATGCGGTCCCGGGCCACGTCCCGGGGAAGACGATCCATGTGGTCTGTGATGTCCCGATTGGCAAAATGGTCTAACAGGATCTTGGCTGCTTCATAGCTCCCCTCCCGGGCAGCAAGAAACAGGGGTGTCTCCTCCTACAGAAAAAAAAGAAAAAGCCCATGCAGAGCGCATTTTAACAACACTCCTGAGGATACAGCCATGTTTCTCAATCTTTTTGTATCACTCCTTTAGACATTTTTTCCTAACTGCCTTCCCACATGAAAATTTAATACCACAGATAAAAAGTGTGCACCTACCTATGTACAGAATGGCTATCTGTAATTTATACATAAAGAAAAATTATTTTACTCCTCCCCAAGAGCCAGCTTTGCCCTACTGAGGGCTACATCTTCTTAGTGGGGAAAGTATGAAATAAAGCACGTCCCTGAGCCATAAATTCACCTGCAAGAGCACTGAGCTTATCAAAATAGGGTTCTAAAAGGAGTAACAGAAATAAAAGGTATGAGGGGAAGAAGCTAAAGCATGTAGAGAACTGAGAAAAATAAGGGAAAGTGAAAGAAAGAAAGACAAAACATCTGAGACAAAGAACAAAATAATGGAAAAGAGGAAATGAACAAGAGAAGAGAAGGTGAGCAAGAGAGGGAAGCATGACATAGAAGTCAGAGGAAGCAGGAAAACATCATGGAACCCAAGAACGGGGCAGGGGTGGTGGATGTGGAGCATCAGGAAAACAAATAAGAACAAACAAGTGAAAAGGAAGGAAGTGTGTGTGAACAGAACAAAGACCAGGAGAAAGGGAAATGTCAAAGAAGGAAAGGCGGAAAGGTTACATCAAAGTTATCAAAGGGACAGCCTGATGCAGACTGAGCAGGCTAAGGGTCAACCCTGACACTTCACTGGATAAGTCCAATGCAAGCACTCAGGCTCTCTGGACCCACTTCTTGCTCAGTCTGCTTCCATCGTTGTCGATCCTTCCTACAGAGCGGCTACAGGAAAAAAGGAATGGCCGCATACATAACCCAAGGCGCTGCTGAACCTGCCCTCCAGCTCAGAGCCCAGACTGTACCTTGTTGTCCTGCATGTCCCGGTTGGCCCCATTTTTCAACAGCAAAAGGGTTGCCTCCACATTATTCACAGCAGCTGCCCAGTGAAGGGCAGATTTTCCTGCAGAGAAAAAACATTTTTATAAGCAGACAGTAAGAGGTCATGTCCTACTCCTCCCATCAGGAAGTGTCATGACTTGTACAAGGAAACCTTGAACTTCTCAGACAACAGCTGGAAGCCAGTTCTCTCTGGGGGCCCACAGGAAAAACCAATGTATTATCTTCATTTTCCCCTATTCTAGAAATACTTTGGTACAGGCTGCCTAGCTTTCAGAAGACCTCTAAATAAAAGGATCATCTGTCTATGGTACCACATCCTTTGTGTGGCATAATCGACCCTGTCACACGCTGAAGACAATATCCTGCTTACTTATTACATGCCAGGATATATAGTTAGAACATCTCACCACTGTACCCCTTCCGTGAAGTCAGCTCTCATATCCTCATAACAAGAGTGGTATACCTGAGAACCTACTCAGTGAAACCTCTCATAGACCTGCTCTGAGATCCAAGAACTCTCACTAAAAATCCCTTCACAACTTCATCTGTGGACTTCACACTGTCTCAGATCTCTGAACTCAGTATTGCAAAACAAAGACGGAATGAATGAATGAATGTTCAGTGGATTTGGATCTGAGACAGCTCTTTAAGGATCATGCAACAATTTCTTTCCTTAGAGGCCTGCTTTGCAGGTAGGAATCTGAATTCCTGCTTCTCATCCCTACCATGGTCATCCACTGCATTCACATCTGCTTGGCAGTTGATTAGTTCTGCCACCATTCCCTCCACAGCCAGGCGGGCAGCCAGGATCAGGGGTGTAGTGCCATCATTCATCCTGGCATCTAGATCAGTTACTCGGTTGCGGATCAGAATCTAGAACACGAGAAAGTACAGAAAAGAGAGTCAGTCAAATACAAAAAATAATGAAGCTAAGATAAGACAGACATAAGAGCATCAGAGTTGAGGCTATACTGGAGGGCAGGGAATGTTTTGCTATCTTCGTGTCCAGGTTCTCCTAGGGTCAGTCAACTAATATTTGTTGAATGAATGAATAAAGGAATAGGATGAATGAATATACAAACAAACTCAAGCTCTACAGTGGCTTTGTAAATTAACATACTTCTGCTTTCTAAAGAAAGAAGAGGGAATATGGGAAAATACCACAACCTCAATTATGGTATACAAGTTAAGATGATACAGAATGCTTTCAATTTCCTCATAAGGCTAAAATAATAGGACATCAGGTTTGCACTGTGAACTCATGTCAAGAAAACCACCAAGGAGCAGCTGGAAGCCCGCATAGTCAGATAAATGTAGAGGGAGAAGCTGACTGACTACTAGTCAGAGGCAGGTGTCATGCACCTGATCTTTTCATCTGGGAGGTATTCTGCCTCATCAAAAACAAAACAAAACCAAAGCACTGACTAACAATCAGAAGACTCGCGGTATCTGCTTTACCCTGAGCTGGCTGTATATGGTCAGCCTTGTCTCCTGCCTCCCTTTCCTGCTTTCCTATCCAGCAAGCATGGCTCTATCATCTGCCTTATTCTCTCAAAGAATCACTGAAAAATACAATGGGTTATTATGTGTCTTAATGCTGGGAAAACATTCTAGACTCATCAGGAATCAAATCTTCACATGATCTCTACCTGGAAGACCCCTTGGGCGTCCGCGGCCACTGCGGCGTGGAGAGGGCAGCGGCCCATGTTGTCCTGGGCATTGGCATCTGCACCTGCATCCAGGAGACGCTTGGCAGCATCTGCCCTTGAGTACCGGGCTGCGAGATGCAGGGCCATCTCACCCGTCCGGTCTGTCTGTGCTTGAAGGCTGGCACCCTGGTACACTAAGTCCGTGATGATGTTGGCAGAAGAGTCCTCTGCATCTTCATCTTCATCACTCATGTCTGAGCTGCCTCCTCGGAGAGAAGCCAGCATCAGTGGGGTGCACCCATCTGGAGGAAAGGGGAATTCCAAATAGTATTCAAGGAGGGGAAAGACATTCATGTTCACTTAACCCTACTGCTGAAAGAGCTCAATTTGAACAAAATTATTAGTTCGGAAAAAACCCTGTGCTTCTTGTGATAAGTGGCAATGGATTTTTCCTTGATAGTATCCTTTCTGTAAAGAGGAGCTAGTCTCTAAGTTAAATAAGCTTTTCTGTTCAAGTTTCTAAGTGCTATGCTTTTTTAAATTGGACAACATTTTAAAATATCCAGTATTAATAAACTATATATGTTAAGGTACAACCTAAACAAATTCTCTATTCCTCTGCTTTGGGATATTATTTTTTTTATCCCACTAAAATCTATCCCCAAAAATTAGCCTTTTTGTTGCTGAACATGCATTATGTGAGGGCTTACCTGGTGGTTCAGTGGTAAAGAATCTGCCTGCAATGCAAGCGAGGTGGGTTTGATCCCTCAGTCAGGAAAATCCCCTGGAGGAGGGCATGGCAACACACTCCAGTATTCTTGCCTGGAGAATTCCATGGACAGAGGAGCCTGGCAGGCTACAGTCCATGGGGTTGCAAAGAGGCGGACACGACTGAAGCAACTTAGCATGTATGCATGCAGAAGGTGAAGCAAATGAAATCCTGCCTCTTTTCTCATACCAATTCATAATTTCTGCAAGCCTGTTTTCCTTAGACATTCATTTCCTCAAGCTGATTTCCAGTCTGATTTCCTCGATCATTGAGTGGGGCAAACACAGGGATAAGGTGGAACCAGGGGATGGGCACGGCACAGTGAAGAGAGAAGGCTCGCAGGCACTGACCTGGACCGCGGACATTCACATCCAGCACATCCACCTCCTGCTCTGCCTGTGGAGGAGTGAGAGCCAGCGATGGGGTTCTACGGATGTCTGCAGCTTCCAGGTGCTGCTGTGTCCATGGACGCCGATCGATGGGGTCATCTTCTTCTGAGAGCAAAGCCTCATCTTCAGCCTGAAAGAAGACAACCCTCCTGATCACTCTGGCCCAGCCCCAGGATCTCTCCCAATTCTTTGACTGACTAACTTCAAGTAGGAAGCAGACCTTAGTTCCTCTTATTGGTCCTAAAGAGCACACACTGCTCACCCTCCTTAACTAAGCGTTGTGTTAGGTACTTACACAGCATTGCATGGCAGTTCCCACTGCTACCTGAAAGGTTCCTTAGGACAGGGAGCAAGCCTCGTTCAAGGTTGCCTCCTTGTACCCTGTCTCCACCCCAGTGCCCAGCACAGAGCCAGCATTTAGGAAGTATCTGCTGAATAATTATACTTTTAAAAGCAGCTGACTTCTACGGAATATTCAGTATGTTATAGAAAACAAGTAAGGCAATTCACCCGTATTGAAAGAATCATTATTATTTTCCCTATCTTACAGATTAAGGATAAGTAAATACAAAGAGGTTAAATAATGTGCCGGAGTTTTGGACTTGAATCTAGTCCTGACTGTAGTAATTTTCTTAACCATCAAGCCTGTATTCCTCAAGCATTTATTTCCTCTGAATATCTGTGGGATACATGCATATCCCAGCCACGTATGTCTATGGGTGAATGGTCTCCTTTTTCATGTCAGACTCAGCCCAATGTACCTCTTACTGCTATCTGGCTTTAGTTTCCAGGGATCAAGATTTAAAGCCTCCAAACTCAGTGATCATTGGCTTTCCTCCACTGACTAATTCCACCTTCCCTTGAAGTATCCAGAGAGAATAAGGGAGAGATCTAGACTTGAAAGAAACTGGTGTTTATACATAATAGTCCTTATTCAAGTACCACCAACATGACATTTGAGGAAGGAAGCATGTTTGTTTTATTATTTTTAAAGAGTTCTTTCTGAAAAACTTACATAGTAGCCCAAGGCCATCAATGACCTAAATATTCCTGATTTTTGAGACAACCTAGGATAGTCAAGGCCTGGGCAACATGTACAGACTACCACCGTTCTCTCCCATTCATGATATTCTAGATACCCGAGGACAAAACTGTGAAATATGAGCAGACAATGGCTAATAATGGTGCTTCTACCATGGCCAGCTTACCTTGGCTTTCTTAGGCTGGGGCCCTTCATCGTCAACCCAGTGTTCACTTGTTCCAGAACCAATTAGGTTAGCCTCTGAGACTTGCACTGAGAGATTTCTGACATGACAGAATCATGAAGGTATAAAATAAGAGCAGGGTTAAACCATAAAAGAACGTAGAAATTTTCATAATGTTTCTACCATCACACACTATCATGGCTACAGTCAGACTTTCAGGGACCTCGACCCAGGGGAAAAATGGGCAATATTACATCCCATTGCCTGAGTAAATATCATTTCCTTTCCCACTAAGCAAGAGCTTACAACAAAGGTGTGTCTCATAACAGAAGCTGAGCATCACTGTGATAATATGTACAGAACTGAAGCATCCAGACTCTTGTTTTATAGCCACAAGCAGGCATTCAGCATCATGGTCAGGTATAGTAGCACGGCATGGCCAGAGCTCTGAATTTAAAATCACGATCCAACAAGATCTGACTTTCCACCTATCCGTACTTGTCATTACTGTGAACAGCGGCTTGTTGACAAGCTCTTACTTGAGGCCCACAGCATCCTGGCCCACCGGCTCACGACGTTTGTGGTTGCTGGAGTCACGGCGAAGGGTGAACCCTTCGGGCAGCCAGAGGGAGCCATGCTTGCGCTTCCGCTTTGCCATGATAACCCCCAGCAGGATAATAAACAAGATAATGACGACAGCAACGGCAAGCAGATAGAGAAGCTGAGTGCGTTTTGGGATCAGAGATTCACCTGAAAGTGCAGAGAGACAGGGAAAGTGATGAATAAAACATCCACCTCTCAGTATCCCCACTAAACTCCTTCAGAGAACGACTCTGAGCTCACGAGCCCTGAGAAACAGCTGCGCATGGTAAGCTGTGCCCCATTCTCTCTGCCTGCAAGTGACATTCCTCAGCACACCTTCCCCTTAATTTCAGAGCTACTCACTGACGACAGACACAAGTGGGTACGACAGGGTCCCCTGGATGGCGTGAGAAGCCAGAAGAGCTGCTGCTGCATCTGTGTTCTTAAAGCACTGGTCTGAGTCTTGAACACACTGGCGGTTGTCAATCTCCAGAAATACCTGAGAGCTAAGGGGAGCCAAGGAGAAATGGCGAGAAAATGTCAACCCAGGAATCTGAGGTAGACCCCTTTCCTCACCCTTAGCCTCGGGCTCTCTACCTCTGGGATGCTGTCTCCAGGAAGATCCCGGAAATTAAGATATGGTTTACATCCTAAACACTAATTCTCACTTAGGGTGGGCTACAGTCCATGGGGTCACAAAAAGTCGGACATGACTGAGTGACTAACTTTCACGTTCCTTGGTCTGGCTGCCTCTAAGTGTTCTGACTGTTAGGAAACATAAGACAAATTGAGGAAATGGGGTGAAGTTGCCTTTGGTGGGCTGCTTCTATGCCTTCCCCCTTCCAGTGTACTCAACGGTACACACAGCTCCTCTAAAAACACACCCCTGCCTTTTGCTTTTTGTTCCTTACTCTCCTTTCTCTCTGCATCTGTCCTCGAGCTAGCTAGCAAGCTGAACATTGTGAGATACCAAAAAATCCTGAGTGTGGACGACATAATGTATGCAGAACATCACCCTTGTTAAAGAGACAGAAATGAAGGGCTTTGAAAAGAAGCCCAGGATTAATATAAAGAGGAGATATCACTAGAAGGATTTACGCCAACCCTGGCAAATGGTTAGAGATTCCAGCACATGAGGAGCCCTTTCTGACATCCTGCCACTTGACTTGCTTCAGTCCACTTTTCAGGAGTCCAAGATCAAGGCAAACCTTTAGCACTAACCGTAAAGATTGGGATTACAGGCTTGTGTTACTTGGTTGACCGTTTTGTTTTCTGACCTTTCATCTTTATAGGTGCAGTTGCAGTTATGACATCTGTGTATCAAAGTGCTCAGCTTGATCAAATTAAGCTTTAAGAAGTTCAGAAATTAAACACCTACCCAGCCACTTCCTGTTCTTGATCTCCAGGAAGGGACCTGCGTGTCACTCTCTGCTTCTTCATGGCAGCTGACTTCCCACCATAATAGGGGTAGACCATGAGCTCCCCCTGGGCGTCCCGTTTGATGCGGAGGTTGGTGTGGAGCAGGGTGCCCAGTGCCCGCAGGAATCTGCGGGCATCCTGGAGCAGTTGTTCTGGTGGCATCAGCACCACGATGACCAGGGTACCCTCTGCCAGGTTTTCCGGCCGGTCAGCAGCACAGTCCAGCCCATCCCAGCCACACTCCTCACTGTTGCAACCCTGGTCACAATGGTTGTCTTCGTAGTGGTCTGCACAGTATTTGTCATATCTAGGCAGAGGGAGGCAGAGAATATGGTAAGACCACAGGGGAGCTCTATTTGTTTTCCACTTGGAATGAATGTGGATTTTCCTACCCATCTTCTGTGGCTCAGATTAGATCCTGAATGTCCTCTGAAGCCTTCTGTGACTCTCTGTGCCCGACTTCTTAAGAGTACTTACAGTCTATACACGCTAGCATCAGTAAGTGCTCTCTGAATGAGAAACAAAACTACTCACTAAACCCATGGGCCCCTAGGCAGCTTGTTATCATGTTAAATCAGATTTGTAAACAAATTTGAAGCAAAAATCTACCTGGTTCATGTTCCCTCTTTATTTTTATATCCATTGCCTCTGGGTTTTCAGCAGTAAAACAAGACTCTAGAGACTGCTTCCAGAAACTGGAAAGTAGCCCCATGCCAACAAGAGATGCTGTACAGTTGACCTTTGGCCCATTTGATATGGCCCATTTCTTTTCTAATCAAGATTGAATCTTCACTGTGGGTGGCGAGAAGTGTGTCCCACACAGGATACCAGATCTAATTTATACAGCATCTTTCAAACATTGGGAAATGGAAATTGACTCCCAAAGCCTGTTGATGCAAAAATCATTTGATTTCCACTCACCCCTTCTCCCTCCTCACTCCCATCCCCCAATGGTTACACCACCCAGTCCAACTGGCCTCTCTAGCTCAGTGGGGAGATCAGGAGTCAGGAGGAGCTATATGTGCTCTGGCAAGTTCTTGAACCTCCCCAAACTCTCTTCCCTGGCCTGTTAAAGGCCATTAACAACACCTAGGCCTCACAAGATTGAGAATTAATCAGGGTTGAATTAAATGGGATGACTAAATGGAAAGCTATTATGTAACCCACAAAGCCCCTAAAATTGCAGCAGTGAAGACCAGGAGGGTTAAGCTGACTAATCTAGCAGATGCTTCCTGATAAATCTGGAAGGGAAACCTAGTCTTAGGGAAAGGCACAGGATGAATAGAGAGGGGTATAGACCTTTGCAACCATGCTGCAGGCAGATTATGTGAGAGGCTGCCTGACAGCAGGTAACACTTCCAAAAGTCACTTCCCCTGGGAACTTGTGACAGCAGCAGGCGAGGAAGCAGAGAGAGGCAGAGAGAGAGTGGCTGTGCAGTGAGCACTCCTGCCCCTCGGTCAGCAAGGGAGAGCACAGGTAGCGTGTGATGGGGCAGGGTGGCACCAGGAAGAAGAGGGCAACTGGGTGCCAGTCCAAAAGGCAGAGGCAGCTTGGGCTGAAGCACTGGAGTGGGTAGGAGCAAAAGAACAAGAGGCCGAGTGTGTCAGTGACAGCGCTGTCCCCCAGTTCTGGGGACCCTGGGCGCTTACTTGCATGTCTTGCTACTCTTCTGGCATTCAAAGTTGTCAAACAGGCACTCGGCCGTGTTGCACAGCTCGTCGCACTGGTTGTTGATGTACTCCCAGCAGGGCAGCGGGGAGGAGCAGTTGGCCCAGGGGTCCTCCATGGTGAGGGAACAGTCTCCCCCATCCCACTGGCAGGCATGGCTGTTGCACACGTCATCGCAGATGCCGTCCCGAGCTTTGTCGGCACAATACTGGCTCAGGCAGGTGGCGGGAGGGGTGCTGGTGGGGGCGGTGTAGAGTTCACAGTGGCTGCCCCGGAACGGCGGGGCACACTGGCACGAGTAGTACGGAGGCTGGCGCTGAGGGTAGCAGCTCCCCCCATGCTGGCAGGGGCTACTGGCGCAGCCCGAGTCACAGTCCTGGGGGTTGGGGCAGAAGCAGCGGGGGCCCGATGCTGTGTGCACACACTGCTCCCCTCTTCTGCACTTCACCTGTCCGCAGCTGCTCTGGCACCGCACCCCAGAGAAGCCCTGTAGGAATCAGTGAACAAATGAGGATGACAGGTGACTCGTGAGGGCAGGCCCCATTCTCCCCCCCAGCCCCCTCACCGCCACACCTCTAGGCGGGTAAAACTAGGCTCTTGGCTAAGATCCCTCCAGGTGGCCTCCTGGACTGAGTTCTACGAAGAGACTTCTTCAAGTCAACCTACAGGTCAGGGTGGTGGTTCCAGGATGAATACAGAACTTTTTTACTCTAAGAGCTTGCTTCTACAAATGAAGTCCGGAGTTCATGTTAGGATAAGGTGACACCGAACCTATTAGCACCTTTCCAAATCATCAGTAGATCACTCACACAATGACTTTACAGGGGAAAAACTCACTTCAGAGGATTTTAGACATCTGTCTAAAACACTTTGCTATGTCATTTCATTCTTGGACTTTTCGCTCAGTCCAGGCCAAGGTTACTGGACAGGTTGCCTTTTGACATCCCTCCGCTCATCTGTTAAGAAGCTTTTAGTCTCTGGCAGGAGCAAAAGTGTTTGCACAGCAAATGGCTAACGTTAGACTTCCTTCTAGTAGAAGAAGCAGTCTGTTCCCAAATAACTGCTGTCGAGGAAAGTGAGCAGAGTAGCATTTCCAATAACTCTGTCCCAGTCTGGGCAGCAAGACCCAGAAGCCAAATACACTAGCCCTGTTCCCAAGGGAATATCCCATTGCCCTTAGTGCTTCTGAGGATTGACAGTCACAGATCAGGGAGCTCACCGTTTCTGGAAGTATCTTAATAGTTTTAAATGGAAAACTGAAGCACTTTCTCCTAAAGAAGCTAACATTAAGAAACGTCCCCGCCAAGAAAGCTCCCCACAGAGCTCGGAAATGCCAGGTTTCATCTCGGCTCTGTCACAGGTTACGTGGAATTCAGTAGGCACTGTGGCACTCACCGGGGGACAACGGCAGATGAAACCATCAGGCATGTTGCTGGCCACAGCACAAGTGCCTCCATTCAGGCAAGGCATCTGGGGACACACGTCGACGAACGTTTCACAGTGACGACCTCAGAGCAGAAAATGAAAGGGGGTTTTAAAAGGTGAAAGCAGTAACTCAGGTTATTGAACGGGACACTACTGGGATGTGAGCTAGTCAAAGGATTAGAGAGGGAGCAAGAGGTGTGAGAATTGAGTTCTAAGCCTAAGGGGACAGGAGAGGATGAGGAAGGCACACGCTAGATCCCAACATCCTTGGCCCATCACCCACTCAGGACAGTTCCCTCATCGGTCTTGTCTACAGTATTAAGTGGCAAATGGCACATGACTGAACTGACTCACTAAACAAGATGTGTACAAAAAAATGACTAATCCCTCAAAAACAAAAGACACCTAAGCTTTTCTGAAGGCACTTTAGCTTTCATAAGTCAAAAACATTTAGCAAAAATTCACTGCATTTTGTTAACACTGTCTACTTCATAAAACAGGCTAAACGAGGCCCATACATCTAAAACAGTGATTAACATATACATGCTACTATAGATAAAACCGATAACTAATAAGAACCTACTGCATGGCACAGGGAACTTAACTCAGTAGTCTGCAATGACCTGTATGGGGAAATAATCTAAAATAGAGCGGACTGATAAAAATGTGTAACTGATTCACTTTGCTGTAGAGCAGAAAATAACACAACGTTGTAAATCAACTATACTGCAATAAACATTAAAAGGAAAGACTTTTGGGACGGGGGACACATGTACACCTGTGGCTGATTCATGTCACTGAATGGCAAAAAGCACCACAATATTGTCAAGTAATTGGCCTCCAATTAAAATAATTTTTTAAAATGTTGATGTGCAGTTTATATTGAATTTTCATCAGTGACATCTGTTTTCAATAATGTTCCAGCCTTTCCGTAATCTTACTGGCATTGTTTTAAAAAACACAACTTATGTTAGTGTTACCTACACAGCTTGTGTTAGTAGGAACTAACACAACATTACAAAGCAATTACATTCCAATAAAAATTTAAAGCAAACATACAGAAAAGCCCCATAGCTTAATATTCCCACCATAATTGTGACTGAGAGTCAAAGGATTTTTTTTTTTTAATTTTTCACAAGCTTTTATTTTTTTTTTTAATTTTTTATTATTTATTTATTTATTTATTTTTTATCACAACCATACGGCCATACCACCCTGAACGCGCCCGATCTCGTCTGATCTCGGAAGCTAAGCAGGGTCGGGCCTGGTTAGTACTTGGATGGGAGTCAAAGGATTTTTTAATTCACAGGTGTGGAAAATGTAGAAACACCACTTCTGGCTACAGGACCCCAATTCAAGGTGGTCTCCACTCCTTTCACCTACTTCCTTCTTTCTTTGTAGGACTCATCAGCATTTCCAGATAAAGGAAGCCTCAGATGTAATGAAAGGAACAGGAGTCAGTTGTCTCCTAATTCTCAAGCACATCACAACCAGTATGAGATGACAGATTGTTCATAGTCTTTCTGTCCAGGGTTGCCTCAAACGTGTGACGTTCATAATGGATTGTTTCTCTTTTGATGCTGTACCTACGTGTTTTCCATATTTCAAAATCCATCCCCCTCCCTTTTTAAAATAAAATTCCAAAGTTCTTAAAGGTAAAATATCTTTAAAATTGGAGGGGTGGGGGGAATGTCTGGATATAATAAGCCCAGAATGTAGCAGAGTTCAACTTTCCAGATTACTAGTACGTAGACTAACGCAGACTCTCATCTGACTTCCAAAGAATACTTCTATAGCAAAAGATTCGAACTGACCCCAGGAGTGCAAGACAGATTTCCAGGTAACTGATGGTACTGCCATATTTAGATATAAACAGCTATTTAGCCCCCCAAAGTCAGCAAGTTGCCCTTTTCCAGAAATAATTAGTAACTGTCTATGATAAAACCCCTATTCTGAGGCAGGACTCACTCATCTTTGTAATTTGTGATGAACACAGCCAAGTCTTAGTGTGCAGGCCCTGCTTGTGACCTCTGAAGTTTTCCTGTTCATACCCTCATTAGTTGATTTTTGGTTAAATATAGCCCAATTTGAATCTATTCCCTTTAAGTGTCTGAGAAGACCGTAAGAGATGTAGAAAGGTCACTATGGCAGCAACCACCCAGTCACTCAAGTCGCTACATGCCACAGGAGGCAGGGTGACAAAACCAGTTAGATGTAAAGTTCCTGAACATGAGATGTTATTTTGCTCAGATGAAATGAGTTCTAGAGATGGATGGTGGTGGTGGTAGCATAACAATGTGAATGTCCTCAATACCAGTGAACTGTATACTTAAAAATGGTAAAGATGGTAAACTTTATTTATGTATATTTTACCTCAATTTAAAAATGTTACTTTGCTCAACTACTCCCAACATTCTATTTCTTTTTTTCATATTTCTGCTATGATATGATGTAATTAATGTATAACAAAAGAGATGGCATCTCTCAGGAGACACAAACACCTGTGGAGCACAGACCTAAGAAAATGTTGGGCCCTTGAATGAAGCTGGTCTATATTTTCACCCTTGCAGCTCTGAGGGCAGCCTGGACTGCATACAGCTCACCAACGACTACCTGTGGGCTTGCCTGGTGGCTCAGACGGTAAAGAATCTACCTGCAATGCAAGAGACCCAGGTCTGATCCCTGGTCAGGAAGATCCCCTGGAGAAGGAAATGGCAACCCACTCCAGTATTCTTGCTTGGAGAATCCCATAGATAGAGGAGCCAGGCGGGCTACAGTCCATGGGCCAGAAAGCTTCCCTTGGGTCTGGGATGTGTCATGCAGGGCCTAGTTTCCTCACCGAAACCCCCATCCCAGCTCGAGGCAGAGTGGCTGGGGCATCTGACAAGGAGCTCGGCTCACCAGTGAAGGTGCTGCGGCAGACACACAGGTAGTCGTTGGTGAGCTGTATGCAGTCCAGGCTGCCCTCAGAGCTGCAGGGGTTGGACAGGCACTCGTTGATGTCCCCCTCACAGCGCTCTCCAGCAAAGCCTGGCAAGCAGCGACAACTGTAGCCCCCAATCCTGTCTACACACTGGCCACCATTAAGGCAGTGGGGGCCCCTGGCACAGTCGTCAATGTTCTCTTCACAAAGCAGGCCTGGAGGAGAAAGAGGAGGGAGAGAAAATTATGACAGTTCTTGGAACGCTGCCTTCCAGGAAGGGAAAACCAGCCCTGGTGGCATTTTCACAGTCAGGCTACGTTCCTCAGCTTGTGGTGGGACCATTTTGGTCAGGCAGTGCATAATACACCCTTGACCCAGGATAGTAGCCATCCTCTTGGGCACCAGTAAGCAAAGAATGTACTCAGGGCTTCACATGTACTCCCCACACAATCCAGTGATGAAGCAATCCCTTGGGCATAGTTAGTATTATTTTTCTACTTGAAAGGTGAGGAAACTTGAACTCAAGAGAGATTTGGTAACTTTTCATTAATTTATTCATTTTGATTTAAAATATAAAAAGTTTAAAAGAATATAACCATGAATAAATAGATTACAAGTAATCACTGCTAAGAATCGGGAGTAAATTTTGAATCACACAAATGACTTTTTCTGTAAAATAGTGTAAGTACACAAATACCTTTTATCAAAAAAATAGGAAGGAAATATCCTGTTGAGAGCTCAAAGGTTATTCCATTTAAAACAGAACTCATTTAATGTGCTATAGATGTAAAAGAGCCATCAAGTATGAACATCCGTACATATTTTCGAGGAAGAAACAAAAGAAATCAATGACTATTCTAGAAGTGATTTCATGATTAATTCAAAAAATTACAGAAGAAAGAAAAACAGTACTGTATTCTTACCATTTGCAATAGCAAGACTATTGGAAAGAAAAGAAAAATGTTTTTTAAAAAAGGCCTCAGTTTCAATAGCAATAGCAAAAGATAAAATATCTAAGAATAATCTTAACAAGAAATGTACTACACCTACATGAAGACTTTAAAGCAGACCTAAAAGACACAAAAGGAAACTTGAATAAACAGAAAGACACAATGGGTTGGTTAGGAAGACTCCTCATGCTAAAGATGTCAGTCTTCTTTATACAAATTCATAAATTTAATGTGACCTCAATAAAAATATTAACAGGATTTTTAATGGATAATATTACCTCTAGAAGTAATTAAAATTAACCTCTACTTCTCTTTCAAGTACTGAGCAGAAAACAACTCTCCTTTAATGGAACAAATCTTCAAATATTTAAAGGCTGTTTCTCCTTAGTTCTGTCTTCCCTGTTAATCTCACTGCTCAATAACTAGCCTACTACTGGGGCACTTTTCCATATTAATTTAGCCAACTCTGAACTCAAGAAGGAAACCCAAAATTCACTGACCCAATGCTTTAAGACAGTATAAATATTTCTCTAACATTCTATTCTCTTTGATGAGAATCAATTTTCCATCATTGTGGATAGCTTTTTCTTTCACATGCTGCTCAGAGCAGGCACCATTATAACTAACTACATCTCTTCTAAAAAATAATACTCCAAGCTCTTTCCAGGAAACTGCAGGCAGGGGAATGCCCCTGGTGGAATGATGGCTCCATCATCCACCGTCTAGGGCTGTATCTCCTTAGGTCTTAATGTAATTCTTAGTTCATTCTTGGACCATCAACCTTCTCCCCTTGGGCTAAAGAAAATAGGCAAATGTTTTCATTTCATTCATTTTCCCACTTTATGGAGGCAAGGTTTGGAAGTTTAGAAAAATACACGAGCTGGTAAATACAAATAAATTTTTCAAGAGGCTACTGGTTGTTTTCCCTCGAAGCACCAAGAGATCTTGCTAGCCAGATTAACTTTGCTGCAACATTATGTCATTTGCACATTCTGTGTTTCATGGGTTTCCACAACAACCAGACAGAATTGAGAACAGGCGTCAGAACACCAGAACTTGGCAAGAGAGCAATGAAATGGCTTGAATCTTTAAGATTCAGATTAATGCTGAATCTTGTTTTAAAAATCCCTTCACGAGACTAAAAATGCATTTATAACTTAGAGAATGCCCTGGATGGAAGACAGGTAAGGCCGATTTCATACCCCGAGTGCCTGGTGGGCAGGAGCACTTGAAGTGGTTCACAAGGTCAATACAGGTGCCTCCATTCTGGCATGGCTGGTTCTGGCACTCATCCACTTCATACTCGCAGTTGACACCCTGATATCCAGGGACACACTGCCAAGAGCAAAGCAAAAAGAACAAGAAATGTTGAACTATTTTTGGACGCATATCATGAGAGCAAATGAAATCGGTTAAGTTACTGTGACCCTTTTCTGCCAAACCCCACCCAGCTCTTGTACGCTTCTCTGGTATCATCACAGTCCCTACTCACTATCTCGTGCAGAGTCAACTCACTGCTCACTGGCATTTATCACTTCTAGCCAAAAAAGCCACTTGAAAAGGAAGGCAAGGACTGAATATTCTGAGGGATATCTCAAATGATGCCTGTGCGAAAGCCATCCATCCCTTCTGTGTGTAGGTTTTCCCATCTTTAAAACATTCATTCCTTTGTATGTGATGAGGACCTGGTGGCTCACAGAAATGGTACATGTGGATGGTACATGTGGATGGTAGTAAAGATAACGCGTGTATTTACTGATCCCCAGGTTCAGAAAACTACATGTTTATGTGTGAGAAACTGGCTGATGTAGGGGTGGGGGCAGCAAGAGGTGGGCAAGCTAGCTATGCTAGATGTAGGCATTCTAGGGCTTTCAGGCCTGATCAAGGAAGAAAATACTGCCCATGAAGTGGCTCTATTTGGGCAATGCTTTGAGTCCCTCACAGCAAAATTACTGTAATTGATTGCTGTATGCTTCCCAGTATAGCTATCAAATTTTATAAGTAAGAAGTGCCACCTTCTGGTTTAAAACTATGCAACATCTCCTTACTTTGTTTTTAATGCCATTTTTGGTGAACCTATAAAGCAACAGCAGCAGTTACAAAACGTTGTCTGAGTACTTCTGAGAGCTCAAAACAAAGATCTGTGTATAGGCTGAATAAAAAGATGTTCAATTAATAGTGCAAACTGCATATGAATAACTTTAACATCTTTCATTGGACTTGTCATGCAAACCTTAATAGAGATGTGACTCCTAGAGATATAAAAAAGGATAAGAAGAGGAGGGCAGATGAACTCAGAGGGAAGAGGGTAACAGAGAGGGGGCTTACATGTTTGGTGATACGACTCGGCAGCCAGGCCAGAGTCTCTGGGTCACAGAGCTCTGAAGGACAGCAGTGCCTTGGTATCTTCACATCCTGGGGCTCATCTTACCTATGGCTAGCAGTGGCAGGTGCAGTTTTTCAGAACATATAAAGCAGGCAATCCCTAAGTGAATAAATTCTACTTCTTAGGGCTATGTTTAAAACAATTGGATGTGTAAAAATTTGAGTTTGGTGCCAGTGGCTTTTGAGCTAAAAATAAGAAACAGGGACCAATATACTGAAGCCATCTTTGGCTCATGTATGAGAAGCAGAGAAGCAAGAGTTTTTCTCAGTGTTGCTTGGTGGCCTAAACTGGTATCAAATTCATGTCTCTGGTCTTTCGTCAACAGTTTGATCTAATTATTATCAGCCCAGACATTAAGAAGACAATGATTTTGTTGCTATTGTTGTTCAGTTGCTAAGTTGTGTCTGACTCTTTGTGAGCCCATGGACTGCAGCATGCAGAAGACAATGATACATCCCTTAAAAGATACATACACCCTCAAATATACACATGTAACAGTATGATGCTACACAGAACAGGGTTAGTAACATTTTTTTGAGAGAATTATTAGTCGATTGACCAATGACTGTTTACAAAGATGACATGGGTCAAAGGGCCACTCCTCAAAGTGGCTTGTCCTATCTCAACTGCTTGTTCAGGGAAGTACCAGGGGCCACTGGGCTGGGTAGGCTGGGAAATGCACCCTGGAAGAGTATGTTAGCTCTGGATTCTGGAAGCAATCCTGTGGAAGTAAGTGGCTCCAGACTTCTGTGAAAACAGCTTACCAGAGCTCTTCTAACTTAATGCACAGGGTACTGAAAGAAACAGTGATTAGAAAACAATGTAATCATGATTGGTAAAAAGAAAAGAAATCTATAAATTGTGAAAAGTAGACATAGCAGCTAAACTCAATATGCCCCTGCTTGTACGAGGTATGCCATCTTCTGGAAGGTCTCTGACCTCTGCCTGCTCCTCCTACTCACCTCACATCTGTATCCACCAATGAAGTCCCGGCAGGTGGCGCCGTGCTGGCAGGGATTGGACGAGCACTCATCAAGCTGGTCCTCACAGTAGCTTCCGGTGTAGCCCAGGGGGCACTGGCAGTGATGCGAGTTGCCCGCACTGATGCAGACGCCTGAGTGCTGGCACAAGCGGTCAACGGGCACCCCTGGGAAACCCAGGAAGGAACGTCACGGAACAGCACACAACACGTCAGGCTCAGGTGAACTAATCTAAGTTGGCTGACACGTCATATTTTATTCTTGTCTAGTTCACAACCCTCAGGATCTGTTTTATGTTAAAAATGAATAAGTGCTGCATATATGTGGAATTTATAAAGATGGTACTGATGAACTCAGCTGCAGGGCAGTGATGGAGATGCAGACACACAGAACAGGCTCATGGACCTGGAGCCAGGGGGCATTGGGGAAGGACAGGTGGGACCAATGGAGAGAGAAGCATGGAAACATAAACACTACTATGTGTAAACCAGGTAGCCAGTGGGAATTTGCTGCATGATTCAGGAACTCAAAACGGGGCTTTGTGACAACCTAGAATGGTAGGATGAGGTGGGAGGTGGCAGAGAGGTTCAAGAGGGAGGGGACATATGTATACTTATGGCTGATTCATGTGGCTATATGGCAGAAACCAATACAATACTGTAAAACAATTATCCTTCAACTAAAAATAAATATGTTAAAAAAAGAAGCCAGTGCTGAAGTGGAACAAGCCGTCCTTCCGTGTCACATACATTCCCTTTTGGAATCTCTAGACTTGCCCCTCTGCCTTCACCTTCCATTTCAGACCCCTTCTCCAGAGGCTTGCCCATTCATTCCCGTCTGCCCTTCCCTCTCCTCCCACAGTAACAGCTCTTGCCCTACAGTGCTGCTCGTTAGTCAGTACTTCATGGACTGACCCTTGAGCCTCAGGGCAGAGCTCACCTCTGTGGGAGGCCGCCACCTCACAGGAGACGCTGGGCACATCGCAGTAAGCGCCAGCCCACCCAGACGGACACAGACACCGCGACTCTGCTTTATCCTGAATGCAGGTGCCTTTGTTTTTACAGGGAGACCGACTACAGAGGTTCACCAGGGTCTGAAACAGAGGCAGACACATACATCAACATTCAGACACCAGGAAGGAAAAAAAGTTACACTGCACTTTAAGAACTCAAAGGAAAGCACACCAATTAATAAAAACAAAGAGCCCTCACCCAAGTCTTAAACTTAGATTCACTGTCCCCAGATAAGCCAATCATTTTATACAGTCTAATTGTTTTAGCTCTGCTATTCAAAAATTCTTACCAGATAAGTTTAAGACTTTGAGGAACTTAATTGGTTAAGTTATTCCCTACATCACGCTTATGTCTAGAAAGATGGCCACCCTATGGGGCTAGAAAGAGAGTTAAAGCTGTCAGATAGGTCTATAGCTTCTACGTGCTACTCCTGAGTGAGAAATCACGTGGGCTTGATCAAATCTGTCTGTGGTGAATATGAATTCAGGATTTAAAGGCTTAAAGCCTATTAATAAACCTAAAAACTGTCAAAAAGCTTACTTTTTTACTGTTAGTAAAAAATAAAAAATAAAAACCTTCTTTATTGAAGTATAGTTGATTTATAATGCTGTGCTAATCTCTATTGTATAGCAAAGTTACTCAGTTATACACATATAGACATTCTTTTTTTAATAATCTTTTCTATTATGGCTTATCACAGGATACTGACTATAGTTGCCTGCGCTATACAGCAGGACCCTGTTGTGTATCCACCCCTGTATGTTGACAGTACTACTAGTAGCACTATTTACAACAGCTGAGACATAGAAATAACCTAATGGAGAAGGCAATGGCACCCCACTCCAGTACTCTTGCCTGGAAAATCCCATGGACGGAGGAGCCTGGTAGGCTGCAGTCCATGGGGTAGCTAAGAGTCGGACACGACTCAGCGACTTCAACTTTCACTTTTCACTTTCATGCATTGAAGAAGGAAATGGCAACCCACTCCAGTGTTCTTGCCTGGAGAATCCCAGGGACGGCGGAGCCTGGTGGGCTGCCATCTCTGGGGTTGCACAGAGTCGGACACGATTGAAATGACTTAGCAGCAGCAGCAGCAGAAATAACCTAAATGTCCATTGACAGATGAATTAAGGAAATGTGGTACATACATAAAATGGACTCCTACTAGAATGAAAGAATGCCATTTGCAGCAATATGGGTTGAACTAGAAATTATCATACTAAGTAAAGTCAAGTCAGAAAGAGAAAAACCATGCTATCACATGTGTGGAATCTAAAATATGGCACAAAAGAACCTAGCCACAAAACAAAGAACTTATTTTGATGGGAGAAACTCAGGCTTCTGAGAAGCAAGAGGCAAAGGGTGCAAGTGGACTAGCACCTTCCCCAAAACTCACATGTGGTGGCCTGGCTCCTGGGGAGAGGAAGGCCATACTCACAACACTGACCATTTGTGAAGGAGGGGGAAGGGCAGAGGGCCATCACGCTGTAAGGACAGCAGAAGCCCCATGAAGAAGAGCCTCCCGATCCAGAGAATCACCAATAAGCTGTTTAATATGCAGAGGTGCTTATCTGCATGTCCAATACAGCCAAAGCTTCACTGAAGTGTACTCTGAAAGGCTAGTTACATTTGGGCATTTATTTATAAATTCTTTGGACTGCTGGTATGACATTCTATCATTCCACCATTGTTTGAGAGGTAAAACTGCATAAAATTACACACAATGCTGTTTCATGTGAAACCTTAGAAAAGTTACTTTGACCCTCTCAGGCTCAATGTATTCTTTCAAGAAATGAAAGGCTAGACTAGTAGGCTCTGAGGGGCCCTTCCATCCTAAGAGTCTATGAAAATGAATATTAAATATTTGAATTTGAAATACATGTGAATAGTTTGGTTTTGAGACTGTTAACAACATTGTAGGGCATAATTATCATTATCCCCTTAGATGTTGTATCTGAATTTTAAAAACTGTTATTTCGATTGTTCTTTATTTCCCTTTTTGTTTTCCTAAATAATATCAATGTGCTTATTTCCCATATGCATTTTCTGCAGCTCTAGGTTAGCCTTCTGTAACAATTTTATGTGTGTTAACCCACATAATCTTGCCAGTATCAAATCTACCAGGTTAAGAAGTTGATGGTTCTCAGAAGTTATCTAAGAACTTAGATTAACTTAGTTATCTTAGAAGTATAATTAATAAGCTGTCCAGATTTATTTTGGGTACATTTCTAAGACCCTGAATTTTCTCTTTTAGGTGGGGCTTATTTTGCCTAGGAAAGAACAGGTGTAACATTCAACCATTCTGCAGGAGCTGAATTAATGGGATGAAATCTAACTACCTGACAGTTTTTTCCAGTGTAGCCCAATGGGCAGATGCAGCGGTAGGTACCCAGGCCATCAACACATACTCCTTCATTCAGGCATGGATGAGAGTTGCATTCATTGATCTCATGGAGGCAGAAGGAACCGGTGAAGCCCACAGGGCACAAGCAAGAGAAGGAGTTAATCCCATCTATACACGTGCCACCATTGAAACAGGAGCTGAGAAGTACACAGGAAGAACAACATCAGCTAGATAATCTGGATCCTCTGACCTGCTATTTTAAAAGTAAGGTTCCCCACGTCTAAGATATTACAGAAGGAAACACTCGAGCACCCCAAACTCCTATATCCAGTAAACTTTACCTTCTTCCAAACTAGAATGGGCATCAATCAGTGTGAGTCTCAGCTTCCTTTCCACAACCAAAAAGATCTGAGGAGTATTTAAAAGTCTGAGCTTATTAGAGACTCCAAGAGAAAGTGAAGGCTTCCAGGTTTTACCCAGACCTTCTGTAGCTCTCCATGTATCACATTTCATTTTATCTCTAAGTCAATTTAATTTATAAGGAACATATCAAATAAACAGCTCTTGATTCTATATTTCTTTATGGAAGAGAAACAGAACAAATTTGTTGATAAGAAAAAAAGAATCAAACCTCCCAGAAATTACTTAGAGAGGGACGACAAATCTGTAAAGAAGTAGGATTTTTTTGTCAACTGAAATTAACAAGAGACCAAAAGGAGATGAAATAGAACTACAGCACTTTCTGTTCCCTAGGTAAGAAGTAAATGATGATTCATCTCACTAAGTTTTTCAACCTCTGCCTTGAACTTGTAACCAGATGTCCACAAGGAATTAGAAACCAGAAACCAGGAGATGACTGTGTGGGGGCATCCAAGGAGATGCCTTATGCGGCCCCTCAATCCCAGTAGAGTGCCCTGCAGGCTCCGCCCCCTCCCTTTTCCCATAAGACACTGCGCTGAGGGCGCGGGCTGCTCACCTCTCGGTGCACTCGTCGATGTCGTCCTCACAGTGGACTCCGCCAAAGCCCGCCGGGCACTTGCAGGTGTAACTGTTGACATAGTCAGAGCAGGTCCCTCCGTTCTTACAGGGCTCACTCAGACACTCATTCATGTCTGTCTGACACTTATCCCCAGTGAAGCCCGGAAGGCACAGGCAGGAGAAAGTATTCACTCCATCTACACAGGAACCTCCATTCTGGCAAGGATCTAGGCCACGGCACACGAGAGTCAGAACTCTGAACAGCGGCATCCATTTAACCTTAGACTCGTAAAGCTGAGTACCTTGAACTGAGCCACACTAACAACAGGAACAATTCTGACATTTCTTTACATCTATTTTGCCCTGACTCCTCCATTTACAAAAATGAATGTAGTAACACTTGCCTGAGATTCTTAATAAGAATCTGTTTAATAGCTGGAAAGAACTTTACCTGCAACACTCCCTGCTTTGCAAAATTAACCTCATAAAACCAGGGACGGGACAGACATCAGCTAGCCCCCTTGAGCTGGCCGACCCTGTCTTCTCCCTCCCTCTATTCCTGCTTCCCTTTCCTGTTTTTGTGATTTACATTCAACTAGGAAACGAGCATTTTTAAATTTTAAGCATCACATAGTTTGATCTTAGGGAACAGTTTACAGCCATAGCGGTTAATCAAGAAATTCTGAGCTATCATCATGGCACAATCCTCTGCAACACAGATGGCACTCGAATCAGAACAAGAAAAGTAAGATGTGACTCCTGGTCTTAAGGAACTTGAAATATAATTACAAGACAGGTGATAAACATAAAGAGAGAACAAAACACCAGGTGGGTAATGCAGTCCTTATTTTATAAGAGAGAGATTTATACCTTAGTCATCTATTAGGCTAATTTCTAAGGCTCATTTGCAGTTTCTACTGGAACAACTCTAGAAGTCATGTATCTCTGTTATACATAACAGTACACAGCTACTGTAATTTCCATAGCACCTTTCAAGCAACTCACAGTAATTTACTGAATAATTTTAAACTAGTTGCAAATATTGTTAGTCCGTCTTCAAATATGAAAAAATGTTTACATGGTAGAAATTTGACTGATATACTAATTAATGTGGGAAAGGAATCCAAATAGTTTGATCCTACTCCCTTAAATTTCTCTATCAGTTGTACCTTGGCCATATTTTTTTCACTATTAGTCATATAATGTTGGAATTATTTGTCTGTCTGTCTTTATTTCCTAGGAGACTATAAGTTTCATAAATGTAAGGTTTTAATTATACTGGTACTGTCAGCCCCTAGTATAGTGCCATCCATATGATAATTTGAAATGATATATGCTGTGAATTAAGATGCCATTATTCCAGATGCACTATGATAAGGTCGTCTGAAGTTTAATGATTTAATCACCACACAAGTAACTGAATACAAGCGGCCCCCCATATTCATGTATTCCACAATCATGGATTCAACCAACCAAGGACAGAAAAAATTTTTTTTTAAATCCCAGAAAGTTCCAAAAGGCTAAACTTGAAATTGCCATGTACCAGTAAATATTTACATAGCACTTACATTGCATTAGGTATTACAAGTAATTAAGAAATGATTTAAAGTATACAAGAGGATGTGCATAGGTTATAGGCAAATACTATACCGTTTTATATAAGGGACTTGAGCAGCTTCAGATTTTAGTATCCACAGGGGTCCTAGAACCAGTACCCTCAGATACTGAGAGATGACTGTGCTGATAAGTATATCACATTCATATGTTGAAACTACTGAAGCTGGGTAAAAAAACCACTAGAAAGAAGTAGGCAGAACAATCCCTAAAGTTTACACTAGGCTGAGCATAGTTCACGTTCATACCAGTCAGAATGAAAAGATTCCCCTAAGATGTACAGGGCCAAGTAGAGCTCTCAGAGAAAAATAAAATTGTAAAAAATTCACACAAATCTACAGTGACAGAGGTAGATCCCTAGTTGCCTGAGACAGGAAAGTAGAAAGGAGGGTCACTTTACAAGAGATGAAATACATTCAGGGGGATGAATGTGATCAGTATCTTAAATACTGGTTTCAGTTGTTGTATGTCAAAACTTACTGGACTGGTTCATTTAAATACTGGCAGTGTGTTTTATACTTAATTATACTTCAAGAGATCTGCTTTTTATTAGAAGCTTTCATATCATTGTCCCCACTTTGACAATGTACAAAAATCAGTAAGGCAATGGTTAAAAGTGATTCCCGTGTATTAATTCCTAAAGCCACTAGCTTCAAAATGAAGATTTTTAAAATATGAAGATTAAAGACAGGTGATCAACTGTTGGATGGCCAACCTCGGCACCGAGAGGCACGTGCCCCCACCACACCCTCCTCTGTTCCCTCGGCTCTGCTCTCCCCCAGGGGCTCAGGAGCAGGCTGGCGTACTCACTGGCAAGGCAGTCATCAATGTCCTCCTCACAGTCCATGCCACTGAAGCCTGGCGGACATTCGCACATGTAGCTGCCCTGGGTGTTATGGCAGAGACCATGGTTCATGCAGGGCTTGGAGACACACTCATCAATGTCGATGGTACATCGCTGACCTGGAAACAAGGGGACAATGAAGGGTCCAGTCCTTGGAAGTCGATTCCCACACAGAAATGTATGTGGGGGCTGGGCTTTAGCTGGGGTGGGTGGGGCTGCTGCAAGGATATTCTGTCTGGTCTCCAGCTTTGGGAAGTCCCTTCAGGTTTCTGTGCCCCGAGCAAGTTGCCGCCCAGATGCTAAAATTCTACAGAGAACATCAAAGCTTCAGACTCTGGTTGGAGTCTTCCAGCCACTAGGGGGCGGCAAAGACATGTAAAATGGAAAGTCTGTCTAAAACATTCCAGTTAGCAGCTTCAGCTTTTATATAAGGTCTGTGTTCTTGACAAAAAAAGGACAAGCCTCAAAAGATAGATCCTCCATGTCATCAAATAACCAGATCACTCTGTTAAATGCTCTTGGTTTCTACATTCCGACGCTGTTACCTTGCCAGCCAGGAGCACACAGGCAGGTGTAACTCTCAAAATTTGGTGCCTCTTTGCAAATACCAGCATTCTCACAAGGGTTTGGGGAACAGGGAGCCAATATGGTCTGACAGTTCTTGCCTGTAAATCAAATGACAGAGTTTATTATAGAGAAAAAGTCCAAGGAACTGAGATTTCCCCAAATTCTACACCAAAGGATGCTTTCTGAATCCAGATCTAATGTAATGAATAAGTTTCAGGATCTGAGAGACCTATGGACCTTTGTGTCTTGGATCTGATGTGATAACTCACAGTGTGATCTCAGGCAAGTTACATTCTCTGAGCTTCCACATAAATAAGATGGGAATTAGGATGCTCACAGAGGCTTTTTGTGGATTAAATGAAAAAAATGTTTACAAAGTCCTTACTAGCATAGGGCCCAGCATATGGAGTAAGTACTCAACAACCACTGGCCTGCTGTCATCTTCATGTTGTTATCACAAGTGGTTATGTGGATTTAGAAACTGACATCAATCAGATGTGAGAGTTTTTGCATCTTCGTAGCTAAGATTCAGCTACTCAGAAGCTTAGCCACATAGATCCATCTTGCAGAGAAGTAACAACACAGCCTCCTACTCTTAAAACCTCTATAGGCCTGTTCCAGAAGGCAATGGGGTTGATCAAAGGGCCATCAGAGGTGGAAACCAGTGAAGTGATACTGTCTAGTAACATCTCTCCTTATTTCAACATCAAAACATGATATTAATAGTGCCCACCAACATTTCCTACCTGAGTATACTGAATATAAGATTCCAGGAAAAAATTAAAAGAATACTTTTATTAAAAGGGAGATGGGATTTTTCCAAGATGGTGGAGGAGTACGAGGACATGGAGTTTCTCTCTCCCCACAAATGTATCAAGGAGACATCTACACGTGAAGCAGTTACCACAGAGCACCTGCCGAACACTAGCAGAGGACCTTGGGCACCTAAAAGGACCAGAGAGACCCCCACATGATGGGTAGGGTGAAAGGGAGAAGGCAAAGGCAGAGGAGAGGAAGCAGGATGACACCTGCACCCTCGTGGGGAGCCGAAGGCATGAAGAGGCCCCTGCATCTGGGGAGGGCCTCTTACCAGCAGGGAGATGAGCTGAAGCAGAGGAGAGCCTTGGGGGTTCAGAGGGTAGTCCAGTAACTGGTCTGTCACAGACAGGACAGAGTGAGACCTACACAGATGGTCTGGGCCACAGCCCTGCACGCCCCAGCCTGAGACAGGTGTTTGCCAGTGCGCATGGATGCTGGGTGCTGGAACGTGGCGTTTGGAGAGTAGACCCGGAGAGGGGCCTGCTGTTGGCTTGTGAGGGAAATTAAATGGAAGTAGTCCTGTCTTGTTCAGGCTCGAGAGACAAAGAAAGCAGAGCAAGCCTCTGACCTTGCTTCTGACCTGCCTGGACACTGCCTTGCCTACCTTCCTGCGGTGAGTGCAAGTTGCATGGCATCATAGATGAGAAGGGGGCAGATCCTGGAATTGTGGAGCCCCTGGAGGAGGTCTGGCCAACCATACCAGGGGCTTAATAACATTCCAAGATTTACAAGACAAAACAAATGGCACCGTAAAAAAAAAAGATTAAACCAGAGCTGCAATCTGCTCTCAGACTGATGACAATATCAGTTTGTGGCCTGGGATTAAAAGCAGGAACCCCCAACCTACAATTCTGAAGTCTCACCCATGGAGCAGATGTACTACCCGGGACCTTTTCCCAACTGGGGCTCCAGACTGCTGTCACACAGGACTTCCCAGCACTGTTTGAGTCTTGATATCAGTCAAAACCAAATTTGGTGATATACGGACTGTTACTTTTCTTTACTGTTCTATTTTTCTTTTTTTTAAATGATTGTTTATTGTAAGATAGGTAATTCTCTACTAGATATTGAAATTATTTATTTGTGTATAATGAGTCATTTCTTTTGTTAACAAATATTTTGAACCTAAGGCTATGGTTTTTTCAGTGGTCATGTATGGATGTGAGAGTTCGACTGTGAGGAAAACTGAGTGCCGAAGAATTGATGCTTTTGAACTATGGTGTTGGAGAAGACTCTTGAGAGTCCCTTGGACTGCAAGGAGATCCAACCAGTCCATCCTAAAGCAGATCAGTCCTGAGTGTTCATTGGAAGGACTGATACTGAAGCTGAAACTCCAATGCTTTGGCCACCTCATGTGAAGAGTTGACTCACTGGAAGAGACCCTGATGCTGGGAGGGATTGCGGGCAGGAAGAGAAGGGGACGACAGAGGATGAGATGGCTGGATGGTATCACCGACTCGATGGACATGAGTTTGAGTAAACTCCGGGAGTTGGTGATGGACAAGGAGGACTGGCGTGCTGCAGTTCATGGGGTCGCAAAGAGTCGGACACGACTGAGTGACTGAACTGAACTGAAGGTGAAATTTAAACTTTTGGCAAAACACGGCTGTGAGGAGACAGCCTGAGAGGATGGGGTTGCAGAGCTCTGCAGCTGAGAATGCTCGTGGAGGAAGCCTGGACGACCACAGAAGTGAAGCGCCATTGCTGAGTAATGCACAAGGGTTGGGGTTGCCATTGTAGGCTGTCTCCTCACATACCAACCCCTGCCTCCAGAGCACCAGCAGGGCTCCTACCGGAGCTGGCTTGCACATCCCTGTCACTGCCTCCTCTGTTCCCCCTCCTCAGAACGTGTGACCAGCTCACCCCTATCGCCACCTGAAGGGTACCCATAGTCCAATCTCTACCCAGCACCCTCCTCCCTGGGCAGCGTGCAGAGAATACTGTACTTTGTGAGCCCACACAACAGGCAAGAAGGGACAAAACAGAGCACATTCACAGGTGAACAGCCCCAGAGAAAGAATACGCAGTAGCTGCTCTCCAGTGGAAATGCTCCAATCCTCACACCACAAATCAGAAACACAGCTAAGAAAGAGATCTAGGGGCTTCTACCCCCACAAACAGAGAGCAGAGCCCGTCCTAACAGGACAGTGACAACCACAGAGCAAGGGGTGGCCTTGCTCGATACCCAGCGCAGGCTCTAGTCACAGCATCAGTCAAACTCCCTTTCAAGGGGAGTCACAAGCTCCTGGACCAGCTTCACCCAATGGCGGGCAGATGCCAGAAACAAGAGGAATTATGATCCTGCTACCTGCAGAAAAGAGACCACAAACACAGTAAGTCTGACAAAATAAAAAGACAAAAACATCTAGCCATTGGAAGAGCAAAATAAAAATCTAAAAGAACAACTAAATAGATAGGCAATCTACCTGAAAAAGAATCCAGAATAATCATAGTAAAGATGACCCAAGATCTCAGAAAAAGAATGGAGGCACAGATCAAGAAGATACAAGAAATGTTCAACAAAGAGCCAGGAGAACTACTGAACACACAAATAGAGATGAATACAAGAACTGAGATGAAAAATACTAGAAGGAATCAACAGCAGAAAAACGAGACAGAAGAAGGGATAAGTGACCTGGAAGACAGGATGGTGGAAATCTCTGTGGTGAAACAGAAAAAAGAAAAAAGAATGAAAAGAAATGAGGACAGGAACTTTCCTGGCAGCCCAGTGGTTAAGACTCCACACTTCCACTGCAAGGGGCAAAGATTCAATCCCTGCTTGGGAAACTAAGATCCTGCATGCTGCAGGGTGTGGACCAAAAAAGTCAATATGAAATACATAAATAAGTAATATTTTTTTAAAAGAAGAAATGAAGTCAGTCTCAGAGACCTCTGGGAAAACATTAAATGCACCAATATTTAAATTATAGGGGTCCAAAAAGAAGAAAAAGAGAAAGAACCTGAGAAAATATTTGAAGAGATTATAGTTTAAATCTTCCCTAAAATGAGAAAGAAAGTGGTCACCCAAGTCCAGGAAGTACAGACAGTCCCATAGAGGATAAACCCAAGGAGAAACATGTCAAGACACACATTAATCAAACTAACAAAAATTAAATATAAACAAAAAGTATTTAAAGCAACAAGGGAAAAACAACAAATAACATATAAGGGAATCCCCATCCCCATAAGCTGATTTTTTTTAGCAAAAACTCTGCAGGCCAGAAGGGAGTGGCACGATATATTTAAAGTGACGAAAGGGAAAAACCTACAATCAAGAACATCCAGCAAGGTTTTCATTCCAATTTGACAGAGACTCAAAAGCTTTACAGACAAGCAAAAACTAAGAGAATTCAGCACCACCAAACCAGTTTTACAACAAATACTAAGGGAAATTAATTCTCTAGGCAGGAAACACAGGAGAAGAGAACAAAAGAGGAAAGGAAAAAAAAAAAGACCTAAAAAAACACCCCTCAAATTTAAAAAATGGCAATAGGAATATACATATCAATACTTATGTAAATGGATTAAATGCTTCAGCCAAAAGCCATAGAGGGCTGAATGGCAGCAAAAACAAGACCCACATACATGCTGTCCACAAGAGACCCACTTCAGACCTAAGGACACACACAGAGTAAAAGTAATGGGATGAAAAAAGATATACATGCAAATGGAAATCAAAAGAAAACAAGGGTAGCAATCTTATATCAGACAAAACAGACTTTAAATAAAGACTGTTACAAAAGACAAGGAGGGACACTACATAATGATCAAGGGATCAATCCAAAATGATATAACAATTGCAAATATACAGGCACCCAACATAGGAGCACCTCAGTATACAAAGAGAATGCCAACAGCCACAAAAGCAGAAATCGACAGTAACACAATAATGGTGGGGAACTTTAACATCCATTATACCAATGGACAGATCATCCAGATAGAAAATTAATAAGTAAACATAAGCCTTAAATGGCACATTGGACCAGATAGACTTGATTGATTATAAATATCATCCAAAAGCAGCAGAACACACTTTCTTCTCAAGTGCACAGGGAACATTCTCCAGGACAGATAGCAACTTACATCACAAATCAAACCTCAGTATATTTAAGAAAACAGAAATCATATCCAGCATCTTTTCCAAACACAATACAAAACAACTAGAGAAAGAAGAACAGATAAAGTAAGTAAAAGGAAAGAAATCATAAAGATCAGACAAACAACAAATAAAATAGAGACCATGAAAAGAACAGCAAAGATCAACAAAACTAAAAGCTGG